GACGAAGCCGTTTCCAGCAGGAGATCCACCAGCACTGCCACCGCTCCCGCCTCCACCGCCTTTACCCGGTTCCGCCCCAGAGGACAAACGGTGATCAGCAGCTGCAGCGCCGCTCTAGACGCCTTGACCGATATTTGGTCTTTCAGGATCTGGACGGTTTCGACGTAAAACGCCGCCTTCAGCCCCATCACCTGCAGCGGCTCGGCCGCTTGCAGCATCGACTTCAGAAGCATCACCGCGAAAGCCCGAGTCAACTCGTCGTAGCTGCTCCCGAGACGGCGGCGTTGCATGGCCCGAACTAAAGTCTCGATCATGGACCGGTTGGCTAGCAGAGATTTCAGTCCCACGTCGGATAACTTGAGGCTGTGGAGTACACTCAGGGCTTCATCGCCGGGGCCCCACTCCTTCACGCCGCCCCCCATATCATCATCAGACGACGGCATTGATTCTTCACTTCTTATGATGACTGACGCTAGGAATTCAACCACACCGGCGTCCGTCTCGAGGGAACGCCGGTTCGCCTCGCTCTCGCCGGCGAGGGACCTCAGCCTCCGGAGGCACTGCATTTGCATTGCCGGCGGCGACGACTCGGCGTCCCTGAGGAGCTTCAGGATCTGGGATTTGCTGAGCGGGGCCTTTGGGGTCGGAAACCTCTCGACGCCGTGGGAGGCGTTGAGGGTGCACCAGGATTGGATGTAGCGCCGGAGAGTGATGTTGGGAGTGAGGAGATCCTCGCCGCCGGTCAGGATGAGGGCTTGTTTGGTCACCGGACACGTGTTGTTGTTGTTGCCGCCGGCGTCGGATGAGAATACCCACTTCTCGATGCTGTCCCGGTCGTAGGTTATTCCGGTCGACACCGTCACCGGATCCCTCATTATTTCTAGCGAGATTGGGCAGAGAAAGTATGGAGGAACTTCGATGATTTGTTCCATTTACTTTGAAATTAAAGATAATAATTACAGTACTAAAAAGAGGTCAAAGAATACAAACTGATAAATAGGGAAAAGCTTTAGATGATAAATGTATGTATGAATTGGGTTGAATTGAGGAAGAGGCGAGTGTTAGTTGTATATATACTCGGTCTATATATATATTGTCAAAGTCAAACCCCGGAAACGGCATTGTAGTAGTAGATGCTGGAAGGGACATTTGACCTTTCCAACTGCCTATTGTGAGAATACCCATTCTTCAGATTTCTTAAATAAATACAATGTTGAAAAGGCATCATCCATCCAGCCCAATTAATTACTACTGTGTGTGAAATGTGTGTGGCCAGCCAAGAAATGGAAATTTGGGAGTCTCTATGATTTGTTTGCCACCGCTTCTTTGACTTTAATTTCTCTAGAGAAACAAACAAAGATTAAAAAACACATGTTTATCGTTGTGCCTTATTAATTACGCACGGGTTAGTTATCTCGTTCTGCCAAAGGCAAAATGTCTCATGCTAATATAGCATTACTCTCGACTCTAAATACTGGTTCCTCCCCCATTAGGCCATTCTAGCGGTTAGCAGATAGCGGGTTATGTTGACAAGTTGTCGATAACGAATTCAGTCAACGGATTTGATAAGCGAAATGAATTGGCGAATTGTCAGAAGATGTTTATTAATTTAGCTGTTTGGCCATAAAATTAGTAGAAAACGTCATTTTTCAAAACGTCGACACAAATATCTCCTATTAGCAGCGTTTTCATTTCAACATTTCTGTCCAAAAACGCTAGTGCCGAATAGCTATTTATCATACAACCTTTTCACTTATAGAAAACGGTAAAAGTGATCAAACCGCCATTTTTCGGCTGAACCGCCGTTTACCAAACACCCCCATAGTCCCTTTGTCCTGAAAATGTTCATCAAATTGATATTTCTTGGTCAAGAACAAGAAATAATGACACAAATATAATTGAAGCACTTTTACACGACAAAAATGTGACTAATTTTGAATTTAAACCAAAAAGAGAATATTTAATACTGAATAGACTAAAAAGCCCTTACTATAAAGATAATTCTAAACCTAATTACCCCTACATCGCTCATCTGCATCAGCCCTATACCCATCTTCAAGCTCCGCCCATGGTCTCCATCTTCAAGCTTCGCCCAGGGTCTCCATCTTCATGATCAAGCTCCGCCCAGCGAGGTCGCCATCATTAATGTCGCTTTGCTCCACCATCGCCATATCTTCGTGAGGTCACACGGGCAGACGAAGCACATCATTGACGTCGAAGCCCGCCGCCACCGATGGACTACAGTTCCAGATCTTCATAGCGGATTGTTACCGCAGGTTGGAGAAGGCGAAGACGACCCTGGATGATCGACGATGGCAGCTCATGGTCGATGAAGGTCCACTGAAGCATCGATCATTGGCGACGGTGTTCGATCACAGCTTGTTCATTTGTAATGCAGATCCAAAAAGTCGCGCATATAGGGTTTGGGATGGGTTTGGTCGAGAATTGTGACGGTGGCCATGGTCGGGGCTAAGTCTGGTCAGGGATTGTGCCCGCGACTAGGGTTGGGGATGGGGTTTGATGAGATCTAGTTATGGGGCTATAGATGGTGGTAACTGGACGAGCGGGGTTGTAGTCACTGGCAGCGACATGGCGATGCAGTGGTCACTGGTTATGGTGATCGGAGGTTGCGTTTCACTGTGGCCGACCGATGGCAGGAGACAATCACTATAACACATGTCACTGTGGTCGGTGGCAGTCACTATGTCACTGTAACAGATTATGTCACTCAAACTGGAGAATAGGGGTAATTTAGTATGTTTGGTACTTTTTAGTCACATTTTCTGAATTTTATTTAAAAGGGGTCACTTTTTGTTAACTATATTTTTGTAGAAATATTTGGGTCAAAACCCCGGCCCTAAGAACAATAAATTTTGATCAACGATAATTTATGAAATTATTTTGAATATGAAAATTATATCAAAGTATACATATTCAAGATATTTTCATAAAAGTATAAAATATCATTGTATACAAATATAATAATTAAAATCATTGTCCAAAATTTGTCATCACCTTTACAAAATGATAAACACGAATGAGGGTAGGGGTACTTTAGGTATAAAAAAAGTATTGGTGTAACATTATAGCTTTACCAAAGTGTACCTGACGCTTAAATATTTGGTCTGCGTTTCTGTCATTCCTCTCATCAGCAAACGTCTTTCATCCTTACATTACACGTTGCCGCACGATATGCACTAATTACTAGTGCGTACATGTATGTTTTTTTGTTTGATTTACGTTGATTGTTTGACTTTATTGTGAGATTGAAAACATTTGTTTGAGTTTAGTCGTAATTGTATTTTATCTTGCATTTATAAGTTGTAAAATAGTGGTAGAATTTTTTATGTTGGAAAAGAGGACTTTGAAGTGAAGAAACCTGCTCAGGTGATTTACCAGGCCGGGTATGGCCCCTTTCACCCGGTCGGGTATGAGTTGAAAAAGGAACCTGCTACGAAATTGGACTTATACCCGGTCGGTTATGATTTGACTCGAACAAAGAGACGTGCTGAAAACAAAATAACGTGGAAGATCGATTCAAATTTGACTGATACCCGATCAGGTATGCCCTTTACCCGGTCGGATACCCGATCCAAGGTGTTGAAAACATGTGTATAAAAAATAGCACACTTTTCTTTCATTTTTATTCACTCCTTCTTCCATACACTTAAGCTCTACTTAGAATAGTAATTTCTTTATATTTTTCTAGCATTGTTTAGTCTCCAAATGAGGAGCTAAACTTCCATTTCTTGGTTTTGCTCTTGAAACTTGTTGAATGTTTAAGTTGTGAGTTACCCCCCCCCCCCCCCCCCCCGTCTAAAAAAAACTTTGCCATTTCAGAATATTTGAAACATGATTTTTATTAGTATAATATTATGAAAGTTATAAATTTTATACTTTTATGAAAGTACTTTTAACAAGAACATTTTCATATAATTTTTATATTATAAAATATTTTTAATAAAATAAAATGATATAGTTGGTCAAAAAATTAAAATGACAAAGTTTTTTGGGACGGAGGTAGTATTTTCTTAACTTCTTCTGTTGAATATTAATTCTTCCCTTAATCTTATTTCTATGTTGACGTTGGGGTGTTTCTAAGTGACGATTAGTTAACGCCTCGGCATTAATTATTAGGCAATGTTCTAAAAGGCGCTAGGCGCTAGTCGGGCGCCAGCCCAGCGCCTAGCGCCTAGGCGGCTAGGCGGGCGCCTAGTTGGGGACTAGTCGGAGACCTAGAAATTGCATTTTTATCTATATTTTTGCATAAATATGCTAAGTAATATTGTATTTTTGTGTGTATAAAATACATATATACATATACATTAACAAACATGAAAGATAGAATTATCACATTTAATCATACATAGTATATGATAATTAATCACTTAACTTCATTATGTTATAAATATAAATAATGATACAATTTAGGTATATATACTGTGACACCGCACCCGAACGTCCTTGAAAATTCGATTTAAAAATTCAAAAGTGATGTATTGAATTTCCAATTTCAAAACAATGGGAGAAACGATTAATATTTTACGAAGTACATGATTGAATATTGTATTGTTCAAACCCGCATTCTTTTGTAATTTTCATCGTGTAAATTATTGGGATGAGCCTACACATATTGGAGATCAATAATGTGATTTAGGAAGTTGACTTGTTCTAAATAAATTAGGATGAGTACAAAAAGACATCTTTGACAAAGATAAAACAATAGGACCCATCTTCCCATTTTTGGAAGTATTGGTAGATATTTTGGACCCCAAATTTAATGGGATCAATTGGGAACCACTCCACATGGTATTAGTACCTGCAAAACAAATAAAAATGGGTTAGGAGACTTACCTTGGCCGGCCATTATGGAGAAGAGCTGCACATGACTTGATAAGAATCAAAGTTTGGGGCCACCACTCTTATTTTCGCACAAATTGGTGTGCTGTTTGTCTCCTCTCATTATAGGAGCTATCCTCAACCAAATAACGTGTATGAGGTGTCCTTGGATAGCCTTTGAAGTCTATTATCTCAATTGAGTGGTCTTTGTTCGAGGAGAGAAGGCTTATCTTGCAAAAATCGAGCTGGAACGAGCAAAGGTCTGTGAACTCGAGCTGTGAGAGTGCTGAGACTGTTTGGTCGATATCTCGAGTTTTACAAGTCCAATTAAGGCGTGTGAGATACCCACAGAAAGCTCTCAAGACGAGGAATCCGTGAAGGTCTGGTTTGCAGGAATCGGAGTTGTGGAAGGCTTCCAAATCGTCCGAGCAAAACACAACCTCGCAGGAGAGGATTTAATCTTCTAAAGTGAGTTTTAACCCCAAAGCTTTACTTTTCATTCTCCAAATGATATGAACGATTGGTGAGACTATTATACACTAATCCAAGTGTATAATATGTCCCTAAAAAGTTATCTTATTGATGTAAAGGTTAGATACTAACCTAGATGCAAATATTGGAAAACTAGGAATCGAGTTAGCCGGAAAACACCCGTTCTAGGGGCTGTTTTCGTATCAACGATTAAGGGTTGAACTAGCACTTTGAGGAGGCTGTTTAACACTCATATTTGAGCAAGGAATCAGTCCCAAATCCACCTTGACCAAAGATTTGACCATTGGACCAAGAAGGGAAAGTTTAAAGCTCAATTGAGGTGAGGATTGACATCTAATTGCTTACAACTTGTAGGTTAAGCATGAGATTACCTAAATGCTTAAATCATGATTTTTCATGGATTATGATGATTATATATTGATGAAATATTGATATAGTTGCCAAAGAATGAAATTTGAAATGATTTGAGAAGGTATGAATAATATGAGATTAAATGAGTATAAATGAACTATTTGTGAAAATGGGCATTTTTCTCATGTGTGAATTATGTGGATACATAAATGAATATTTGTGTATTGAGAATGAATGTTTAAGTTGCTGCTACATAAGTATAAATATGTAGAGAATTACAAATAACAAGGATAATGGTTTGATAACAATAATCTTAATAGTATTGAAATACTAGTTAATGATTATTGGGATTTATTGATTAAATTGATCCTAGGGATTGGATTGTATGAAAGGTGCTTGAATATAGTTCAAGTGTATATAATAACTTAGTATGGAACTAAGGTTAAGTTATGGGAAGTCTTTAAGGATGACCCATGGTAGTTTAATGATATGTCAATTCTAGGCATAGGGATTGCTTGAGAATTGGACCTTAATGCATGGTGATGTGATAGAGCCGAGCTCTAGAATGCATGTAAGGGTAGACTTGGAGTCTATGTATTGTATAGCTAGAGCCGAGCTCTAGGACTTGCGTGGTGATGTGGTAGAGCCGAGCTCTAGAACGCAAGGTAAGGAAATTGACCCGAGGTATATGAATTGTATGGTGATGTGGTAGAGCCGAGCTCTAGAATACAATGTCATGTACTAGGGTTGGACTCTAGGAGTTGTCGTGGCTTATAGCCACGGGGTTGGGAATGGTGATTTCCAAATGAAAACGGGCCCACGGGCCGACTACTTGACTTTTATATAAAGTAAGTATATTTTTAAACGGGGTAACTTAGGGTTACAATCATAATGTACTATCACCCTACTTGAGGGTCTTGTGTTTGAAATACTTGTTGTATATCTATTAGATGCCTGCCACACCAGTACTTTATAGCCGTATAGAGTACTGACCCCTTCGGGGGCGTCCCACCACCATTTCAGGTTGAGGCTAGAGCTTGCTTCCTGTGCTCGTTGATCGAGTGATTCCTTGGAGAGAAGACTTGGTTCGTGCTTCCTCCATTCTGTTTTTAAATAATATTAAACTTGCTCATGGATATTTTACTTTAGAGCCTGCGTGCTCATGTTTGCCCTGTGTGGCCCTTTTGTTTTAAACAATGTTTTCCGCTGCGTATTCAATTGTTTATTATGTATGTTTATGGATGACTTATGTGTGAATGATATTCATGACGCCTTGTATAATATGAATGTGTTGGACTGCGGTTGACTATTCGTATTGTACGGCGGGTTGTTGACGTGTCCGGGGAGGTCCGGGGCGTGACAATTAAGTTGGTATCAAAGCCTTAGTCCATAAACTTCATAATGAAGTCTCAAAATTCTCTTTTTGAAAAGATTTTGAAAACCATGAGCATAGGAGTTTTGTACTTGGAGAGCTTTTGGTACTTGGGTTGCAAGGTCTCTAATTGTTAAGATGGTACCCTTAGCAATTGGTATGGCGGTGACTCGAGCCAAAATGTGTCTTAAGTACATATCCGTCAATTGACATTTGATACGAGTCTAACGACTCTTTCCAAATTTCTTTCAGAAATGGACCGTGGTGGCAAGGTAACTAGGAGGAACCCTTTGGGCCGTGCACCCGAGGAGACTGGGCAAGGCAGTCGTAGGACCTCTAGGGCATCTAGAGGAGCGGGCCGTGGAGGCCAATCACGGACCGTGAGTGACGGTCATGTGAGCACCGAAAGTGACAACTACTGGTCCTATGAGGACTCGACCTATCGGCCGGAAACAGAGCCGGTTGAAACCCCTTATGAAGGGGATGATGATGATGTAAGTGATGAGGAGGACAACGGCTCCTTAGCGCGGATTGAGGCACTACTCCAACAATATCACCGTGAGCGTGAAGAGAGGAGGGAACGCCGAAGGCGCCGGGCTGGGCAACCTTCGGGCATGGCTTCACGAGGAGGAAGTCATGGTGCATCTAGAGTCCATGTGGAACCACGTGGAGGCCAAAATGATGGAGGTCCAACCATAAGGATCTCCAAATACATCAAAGAAGCAAGAGATTTGGGGTGCAAACCCTTTGATGGAGCAGGGGACATTTCAGTGGCAGCACAATGGATCAAGAGGCTAAATGAAGCGGCCCTTGACATGCAAATCGCACCGAATCTCAAACTGAGAATTGCGGTAAGATTGCTCGAGGGGATGGCATCCAAGTGGTGGGATGGAACCAAGAACAAGTACGGTGAGACCGTCGTTTGGGAGGACTTCCAACGGGAGTTCTTTGCCCAATACTATTCTGATTTCGAGGTGAATAAGAAGGTGAGGGAATACACCCTCCTAACCCAAGGGGGTAACATGTCAGTGAAGGAGCTTGAGTACAAGTTCCGGGATCTCGCCGACTACATACCGGAGTATGCTTGTGACGAGAACCGCATGGTGAACCACTTTTGGGACGCTCTTGACTTGGAGATACGTGATAGGGCAACGCAATTGCCTAATATGACTTTCGCCCAAGTGGTTGAACAAGCATTGAAAGGGGAGAAACAGTGGGAGGAACGGAAGAAGAGAGACGCCGAGGAGGCGAAAAAGAGAAAATGGGAGAGTCATGGCTCCCAAGGTTCCAACAAAAAGGGGAACCATGGAGGAGGATCTTTCCGGGCACCACCGCCACCGTCTAGGGGGAACCAAGGCCCGAGTGGGCAAGGCTCGAGGTCACAAACCTCGGTGGTAACTCGTTGCAACAATTGCAAGAAGAACCACTCCGGTAAATGTCGCGACCCCCCCTAGATGCTTTCAATGTGGGGATGCCGGGCATTTGAAGGCACATTGTCCACAACTGGGCGGGGCAAGGACATCGGGACCAAGCAGTGGCCCGACGGGTACACGGAGTCAGACCGGGGCCTCTCAAGCAAGCAGAGGACAAGGGGGAGCAAGCGCGAGTAACGCGCCGTCCGTGAATCAAGGAAGGACGCAAGCTAGAGTCTACGCAATGACCGAGGCTGATGCTCGGGCTAATCCCGACTCCGTCGCAGGTAATACACTTATTCGGGTCATTTCTAGGCTTATTTTGATCATATACGTCGTTGGGATTGAGTACGGGCCACCCCGGGGTCAAACTGGGTGAGTTAGGCCGAATCGGGCTGGAAACAGCCACTGCTGGCCAGGCACGCCCGAAGGCACGCCGTGCCTGGAATCGTGCCTGGAAGGCAGTGGCACCCGAAGGAAAGAAAAAAAAAAAAAAAAAATTTTGGGCCAGGCACGGCCGCAGGCACGCCGTGCCTGGCGTCGTGCCTGGGAGGCAGTAGCGCCCAGGGCTTTTTCCCAAGCCAGGCACGACCGTGCCTACCCCAGGCACGCCGTGCCTGGCACCCAGATTGCCGAAACCTGATTTTTTTCGCACCGTTTTGCGACGTTAAGGCCTCTTCTTGATCTCTAACGTGCGTGTGAACATTGCAACCTTCTATAAATGAGTAGGGAGGATAGGAAAGATGTCTTACATGGTTCATGAATGTAGGGACACTAAAGATTAACGGGAAGGATGCACGAATCCTTATCGATACCGGAGCGCAACGTTCATTCGTGAGTGAGGCGTTTGCCGAGAGCTTAGAGATGCAATCAATACCAATGACACAAACCTTAGTGGTATCAACCCCACTAGGGGAAGACGTTGAAAGAAACAATTACTATCCATCTTGTATGGTGGAAATCGGTGGCCAAACCTTGACGTGTGATTTCGTACCGCTGAGTATGATGGAGTTCGATGCAATCCTAGGGATGGATTGGCTAGAAAAGCATCATGCTAGGGTAGATTGCTACACAAAGGTGTTGGAACTCGAAGGCACACATGGGGACACCCTACGCTTCGAGGGGGACCGCGGCAAATCAAATAGTTGTATCATATCCGCCGTGAGAGCGAGAAATATGATGAGGAAGGGATGCCACGCATATCTAGCATACGTGGTTGACAAAACCAAAGAGGGAACGAACATCGATGATGTGAGGGTGGTTTGTAAGTATCCGGATGTCTTCCCTAAAGACCTACCGGGGCTTCCACCTGACAGGGAGATTGAATTTGTGATCGAGGTCGAGCCTGGTACCAAACCAATCTCCATACCGCCATACCGGATGGCACCCGCTGAACTTAACGAGTTGAAAACCCAATTGCAAGAGCTTTTGGATAACGGTTTCATTAGACCAAGCCACTCCCCGTGGGGAGCACCGGTTCTTTTTGTGAAAAAGAAAGATGGGACACTTCGAATGTGCATTGACTATCGTCAACTGAACAAGGTCACAATCAAGAATAGGTATCCGTTGCCTAGGATTGATGACTTGTTTGATCAACTACGAGGAGCAACCGTGTTTTCGAAGATTGACTTAAGGTCGGGGTACCATCAATTGAAGATTAAGGAAGATGACATACCAAAGAGTGCTTTCCGCACAAGGTATGGGCATTTTGAGTTCCTTGTTATGTCGTTTGGGTTAACAAACGCCCCGGCGGCATTCATGGACTTGATGAACCGAGTATTTCATAAATACTTGGATCGATTCGTGATTGTGTTCATAGATGACATCTTGATTTACTCAAAGAGTGAAGAAGAGCATGAGGAGCACTTGATACTTGTTCTTGAAACACTACGGGAGAAGCAACTCTATGCCAAATTTTCTAAATGTGAATTTTGGCTAAAGGAGATTGGCTTCCTCGGGCACGTGGTTTCGGGATCGGGGATTGCTGTTGATAACAAGAAGATAGAAGCCATCACTGAATGGGAGAGGCCAAAGAACGTCAAGGAAATTCGTAGTTTCCTTGGATTGGCAGGCTACTATAGAAAGTTCGTGGAAAAGTTCTCTGTTTTGGCATCGCCATTGACGAAGCTCACTCGTAAAGGAGCTAAGTTTGTATGGGATGACAAATGTGAGAAAGGGTTCATGGAACTAAAGAAGAGATTGACTGAGGCACCGGTACTTGCATTACCCAAACAAGGTGTGGGGTACGATGTCTATAGCGATGCGAGCATCCAAGGGCTCGGATGTGTACTGATGCAGAATGGGAGGGTAATCGCCTATGCTTCACGACAATTGAAGAAGCATGAGGTGAATTATCCTACTCATGATTTGGAGCTCGGGGCAGTGGTATTTGCACTGAAGATATGGAGACATTATCTCTACGGGGAGACATGTCACATATACACTGATCACAAGAGCTTGAAGTACGTGTTTACTCAGAAAGAGCTAAACATGAGACAGAGACGGTGGATGGAGCTGATAAAAGACTACCATCTGGTGATAGAGTATCACCCAGGCAAGGCAAATGTGGTGGCAGATGCTTTGAGCCGGAAGAGCTCGTCTGGGGCATTGATAACTAATTTGAGGGCATTAAGAGCCCAACTGGAGGTAACCAGCGATGGTGCCTTATTGGCACGATTTGAGGTGAGACCCACTTTACTTGATGAGATCAAGAAGGGTCAGGAAGCCTACGAAGAACTTATGAAGGTCCGGGAACGCATGCAAGCGGGGCCGGTGGAGGATTTCAGGGAAAGAGATGATGGTCTCTTGTTATTTCGTGACCGAGTGTGTGTACCGTCAGATGATGAGCTCCGAAAGTCCATCTTAGAGGAGGCTCATTCATCGGCTTATGCCATGCACCCGGGGGGCACGAAAATGTACCGTGATTTGAAGGAAAGTTACTGGTGGTCTGGAATGAAGAGGGAAATAGCCGAGTACATCAGTCGGTGCCTTACTTGTCAACAAGTTAAGGCAGAACATCAGCACCCAGCAGGCTTATTGCAACCACTCTCCATCCCTGAATGGAAGTGGGAGCACGTGACTATGGATTTCGTGGTAGGCTTACCACGGACTATCAGGAACTATGACGCGGTTTGGGTCGTTGTGGATAGGCTCACAAAGAGTGCACACTTCTTGCCTATCAACACTACCTACCCACTTGAGAGGTTAGCCAAATTGTATACGGATGAGATCGTGAGGCTGCATGGGGTCCCGGTGACCATTGTATCTGATAGAGACCCACGATTCACATCACGTTTTTGGCCGAAATTCCAGGAGTCTATGGGAACGAAGTTGAAGTTCAGCACTGCTTTCCATCCACAGACGGATGGGCAGTCTGAAAGGGTTATTCAGATCCTAGAAGACATGCTGAGGGCTTGTGCATTGGAGTTCCAGGGAAGTTGGGACAACCACTTAGCACTTGTGGAGTTTGCCTATAACAACAGTTATCAGGCAAGCATCGGCATGCCTCCATACGAGGCATTGTATGGGAGGAGGTGCCGTACACCGTTATGCTGGGACGAGGTTGGCATGGCCAAACTCGAGGGTACTGAGTTGGTTGAGGTCACCAAATCAAAGGTGAAGTTGATTCGAGAGAGACTCAAGGCGGCTCAGGATAGACAAAAGAGTTATGCAGATAAGCGTCGAAGAACCTTAGAGTTTAAGGTTGATGACGAGGTATTCTTGAAAGTTTCTCCTTGGAAAGGGATCATTCGGTTCCAAACCCGAGGAAAACTTAACCCACGATATATAGGTCCATTCAGAATTATAGAGAGGATTGGGGCCGTTGCATATCGTCTACAGTTGACTCCTGAGTTAGAGAAGATACATAATGTGTTTCATGTATCCATGCTTAAGAAGTATGTGCATGATCCCTCTCACGTACTAGAGAAGCCACCTGTAGAGGTACGTGAGGATTTGAACTACGCTGTTCAACCTATCAAGGTCACCGATAGAAAGGTGAAGAAGCTGAGGAGCAAAGAAGTCCCAATGGTTAAAGTCCTGTGGAAGAGCGATCGGGTCGAGGAAGAGACATGGGAAACGGAGGCTTTGATGAGGAAGCAGTATGCTTTCCTATTCGAGTAGAGCTGTGAATTTCGGGGACGAAATTCCTGTTAAGGGGGGGTGAACTTGTGACACCGCACCCGAACGTCCTTGAAAATTCGATTTAAAAATTCAAAAGTGATGTATTGAATTTCCAATTTCAAAACAATGGGAGAAACGATTAATATTTTACGAAGTACATGATTGAATATTGTATTGTTCAAACCCGCATTCTTTTGTAATTTTCATCGTGTAAATTATTGGGATGAGCCTACACATATTGGAGATCAATAATGTGATTTAGGAAGTTGACTTGTTCTAAATAAATTAGGATGAGTACAAAAAGACATCTTTGACAAAGATAAAACAATAGGACCCATCTTCCCATTTTTGGAAGTATTGGTAGATATTTTGGACCCCAAATTTAATGGGATCAATTGGGAACCACTCCACATGGTATTAGTACCTGCAAAACAAATAAAAATGGGTTAGGAGACTTACCTTGGCCGGCCATTATGGAGAAGAGCTGCACATGACTTGATAAGAATCAAAGTTTGGGGCCACCACTCTTATTTTCGCACAAATTGGTGTGCTGTTTGTCTCCTCTCATTATAGGAGCTATCCTCAACCAAATAACGTGTATGAGGTGTCCTTGGATAGCCTTTGAAGTCTATTATCTCAATTGAGTGGTCTTTGTTCGAGGAGAGAAGGCTTATCTTGCAAAAATCGAGCTGGAACGAGCAAAGGTCTGTGAACTCGAGCTGTGAGAGTGCTGAGACTGTTTGGTCGATATCTCGAGTTTTACAAGTCCAATTAAGGCGTGTGAGATACCCACAGAAAGCTCTCAAGACGAGGAATCCGTGAAGGTCTGGTTTGCAGGAATCGGAGTTGTGGAAGGCTTCCAAATCGTCCGAGCAAAACACAACCTCGCAGGAGAGGATTTAATCTTCTAAAGTGAGTTTTAACCCCAAAGCTTTACTTTTCATTCTCCAAATGATATGAACGATTGGTGAGACTATTATACACTAATCCAAGTGTATAATATGTCCCTAAAAAGTTATCTTATTGATGTAAAGGTTAGATACTAACCTAGATGCAAATATTGGAAAACTAGGAATCGAGTTAGCCGGAAAACACCCGTTCTAGGGGCTGTTTTCGTATCAACGATTAAGGGTTGAACTAGCACTTTGAGGAGGCTGTTTAACACTCATATTTGAGCAAGGAATCAGTCCCAAATCCACCTTGACCAAAGATTTGACCATTGGACCAAGAAGGGAAAGTTTAAAGCTCAATTGAGGTGAGGATTGACATCTAATTGCTTACAACTTGTAGGTTAAGCATGAGATTACCTAAATGCTTAAATCATGATTTTTCATGGATTATGATGATTATATATTGATGAAATATTGATATAGTTGCCAAAGAATGAAATTTGAAATGATTTGAGAAGGTATGAATAATATGAGATTAAATGAGTATAAATGAACTATTTGTGAAAATGGGCATTTTTCTCATGTGTGAATTATGTGGATACATAAATGAATATTTGTGTATTGAGAATGAATGTTTAAGTTGCTGCTACATAAGTATAAATATGTAGAGAATTACAAATAACAAGGATAATGGTTTGATAACAATAATCTTAATAGTATTGAAATACTAGTTAATGATTATTGGGATTTATTGATTAAATTGATCCTAGGGATTGGATTGTATGAAAGGTGCTTGAATATAGTTCAAGTGTATATAATAACTTAGTATGGAACTAAGGTTAAGTTATGGGAAGTCTTTAAGGATGACCCATGGTAGTTTAATGATATGTCAATTCTAGGCATAGGGATTGCTTGAGAATTGGACCTTAATGCATGGTGATGTGATAGAGCCGAGCTCTAGAATGCATGTAAGGGTAGACTTGGAGTCTATGTATTGTATAGCTAGAGCCGAGCTCTAGGACTTGCGTGGTGATGTGGTAGAGCCGAGCTCTAGAACGCAAGGTAAGGAAATTGACCCGAGGTATATGAATTGTATGGTGATGTGGTAGAGCCGAGCTCTAGAATACAATGTCATGTACTAGGGTTGGACTCTAGGAGTTGTCGTGGCTTATAGCCACGGGGTTGGGAATGGTGATTTCCAAATGAAAACGGGCCCACGGGCCGACTACTTGACTTTTATATAAAGTAAGTATATTTTTAAACGGGGTAACTTAGGGTTACAATCATAATGTACTATCACCCTACTTGAGGGTCTTGTGTTTGAAATACTTGTTGTATATCTATTAGATGCCTGCCACACCAGTACTTTATAGCCGTATAGAGTACTGACCCCTTCGGGGGCGTCCCACCACCATTTCAGGTTGAGGCTAGAGCTTGCTTCCTGTGCTCGTTGATCGAGTGATTCCTTGGAGAGAAGACTTGGTTCGTGCTTCCTCCATTCTGTTTTTAAATAATATTAAACTTGCTCATGGATATTTTACTTTAGAGCCTGCGTGCTCATGTTTGCCCTGTGTGGCCCTTTTGTTTTAAACAATGTTTTCCGCTGCGTATTCAATTGTTTATTATGTATGTTTATGGATGACTTATGTGTGAATGATATTCATGACGCCTTGTATAATATGAATGTGTTGGACTGCGGTTGACTATTCGTATTGTACGGCGGGTTGTTGACGTGTCCGGGGAGGTCCGGGGCGTGACATATACAGACATGTATAGTTTTATCTTAATTTACAACTTCATTTCTTTATATTCATGGCTAAAGTTATAGTACATATATTGCTTGGAAAATTAAAATTAAAAAATAATGTTCGACGATTCTAGACGGCCTAGGCGGCCGATAAAGCGCTCTAGGCGGGCAACTAGGCGCCATAGGCGGCCGACTAATTCACCTAGACGGCAGACCAATTAGTCGGAGCGCCTAGACGAAAATCGGGGCGCCCGGCCACCGCCTAGCGCCTAGGCGGGGACTAGTCGGGCGCCTAGAACGATTTTTAGAATAAGATTATTACTAGAACCGATCAATGAACCGATGGTTATTAATCGTTGATGGTTTTACAAGTAACTTCGGTTTATTAATGCACGGTCGTGGTTAATAAACTTAAGAGGGATAATTGAGTTGGTTAACCCGAAACAGTTGTGTTGAGGTTATCAATCTCAATTGATTTCATCAAGAAGTTAAAAAGATTAAATACTATTATTAAGTCGGTATACGGCGGTATTCTATACTTGGCTAATAATAAGAGTTGTTAATGAATGATCGCTATTAATAACTACCCTCGATGAATTAGAGATGCTCCTCGATTGAGTATTTGAGAGGGGATAAATTAAAGATATAACCGGGATCGACTAACATCTCAACAAGTGGAAAGTAGCAAAACCGAGTTCTTTATCACTTTGAATTAAAACACATATAAGTTGTTCCACTTAGTGTTTAATTTAATTAAATCACACAATTCCAAAACCCTCCTTTTTTAATTACTAGTTTCATAAAAGTATTCTTTTCCTCGTGGATATGAACTCTACTACGCTATACTACGTGTAAGTGTTAAGAATTGAATTTAATTTGAGGCACATACGACTTTAGAGTTGATTTACAGATCGGGTTAAGAATTGAATTTGGCTCCATTACCGGGGAAAGACAATAATTTTTCTTTTTATTTTAGTTCAAGAAAACAAAATTAATAAAAATATAAAGATTCTTACTTTTTCTGAGCTTTAATTGAGTATATGGTAAAAACCCGATCTATAAATCAACTCACCTACCAAACAAACACGGAAATAGAACAAACCTTTGAGAGGTTGAGGAATTTATTTCCAAATACTTCTTCGGAGGAATCATCAAGCGCTAGCTCTCAATCTAGCGAGCCCGGAGAGCCAATAACTATGGCCCTTGAAACAAGAACATTAAGGGAGCTCACGGCTCCTAATCTCAACCAACAGGGTGAAAATCTTTATAGCTTTCAAGGTGAAAATCTTTTGTAGGTGTTCAAAAATGATTAGGAAAACGTAAAATTTGATTCATTTGAAACTTTAGTGTCCAATATGAGACACACAAGTAACCATAGTGTCTAATTTGGTCTGTTTGAAACTTTAATGTCCAATATGAGATTCTCATATAACCAAAGTGTCCAATTTGACTAGCTCTTATCCCTTAAAAGAATAGAATAAAGGATGTCACATAAAAATGTATGTACAATGTATGTACACATGACATACATACAGTCTCTATTACTCCCTCTGTCCCAAACTATTTTGCAAAATCAACATTTTTTGGTCAACCAATAATAAAAGTCAATGCTCCGTATCGATAATAATTTAATTTTTAATAATTAAAATTTATATATTCAAAAACTACATTAAAATCTTTTCAAAGTTGTAAACTTCAAATTAGAATATAATTAAAAATTGACATCCTAATTTAGCGAATAAAGTGACAATGTTTGACCAGGAAAAGTCAAATTTACAAATCAATTTGGGACGGAGGTAATAATAAATACGAAGTATAACAATACCCACATGCATACATTAAATATGAATGAAGCCGAGGATTGGAGGAGGCAGTTGAATTAATTAATTTGAATGAGTGCTTATTAAGGTAGTAACGAATTGCATGTATTGAATTAATTTATTATTTCCATGGTTGAATGGAGAGAACAATGATAAGGATGATGATGAGGAGGAGTATGATGGCGTAGCAAGTCCACTTGCGGGTGCTCTTCTATTTGGTGCGGGCCTCCTGGAGCTGGTGAGCCCCATGGCGGACCACGCTATGAGCCCTTTACATCTGGCTCTCGATGTCATCCAGCTGCTCCCCCTGCGTCTCTACCAGCACCGCCATGTCCATGAACACTTGGTGAAGCTCCATCCTTCAAGTTCCTCTCCGCCTCCTTCACTGCCTCGTGCCGCTAAAGGAAACCTCATGGCTAAAGGGAACTAACACTAGATTAAACCTCCAAAACGCTAAGTACACAAGCAAATCGAAGAACATGAAGAAGAACTCACCTCAACAGTTAGGGTTTGATCGCCAAGGGCTTTTCTTTCTCAAAAATTGGGCAGAGCTTCGCTTTAAAATCTCAAAATTGAAAATGCCAAATGACTCCAAATCAGGGGTACATATAGGCAACCCAGTCGGGGTTACTTCGAAACTACACCCTTCGGTGAGAAAGTCATCATCACCTGTCAGCTCCCGACATGTGGCCACTCCCAACGATCACCTCATCATCACCTGTCAGCTCCCGGGTAATCTCGAACATCAGAGTCAAACATTTCCTCCACGCAACGCCTTCAGCCCCTGCACCAGTCAACATAGGAACTTGAAGACCCAAGGAAAGAACTTTTTGTTCACAAGCCCTCAAGATACTACAATTCATCAAACCCTCTTGCCCAAAAAACCTTCGATCAGGAAACGTGGGGGACTAGGGGACTGACCCTCACGCAGTCTTTTTCAAAACAAAACTCCAAAACACAAACGACAACATACTTGCCTTCGGGTACTCAGAAAAGCTTGACAAAGTACTCCCCTTCGCCTCGAATAGCTCTTGATAAAGGGAGTGAGGGACTCCTGATGAAGTATATGGCATAGGACCCCCAGATCCACATACTTCTGCCACCGCAACATGCCCAAATATCTCAATAGGACTGGACAAGCAACCGGGTACCCCTCAAACCTCGGGAAAGTGCCTTTGGGTCCCGAGGGCAGAGCCCTCGCCTTCGGCCCAAAGGACTTTTGGGCCGGCAACTTCCATCACTCAACTACCGCATTTAATGCTCCGCCACGTGCCCGCATCTTCCTCACATTGGTGCTCTCCGTCATAGACCAGCTTACATGTGTATGTGCACTTAATACACTTTGAAGACTTGCAGTTATGACTAATATAAATAGCCGTCCATTTGGGTAGATGTAACGGTTCGAAAATCAGTGATATAATTGCTCTCTCTCTAACTTAATAGTTCTGTATTATCTCTACATATACCGCTAGTGGTATCACGATTTAGCTATCCATCACTAATAAACTGAGACGCACAAGGATGTTTTTTTTTACAAAATTACTTCACTTTATTCATCACATTCATCATTCATGATTAATATGGGTAAAAACTCAAATACGTAACTACACTAGTTTGAGAAGAGACCATCTATATAGTCCGTACAAAAGAATTTATTAAAAGAATATAATAAAGGATGTCACATAAAAATGTATGTACAATGTATGTACACAGGACATACATACAGTCTCTAATAATAAATACGGGGTATTACAATATCCACATGCATACATTAAATAAACAGTTTGTTAAAAAATGTGAATGAAGTTGAGGATTGGAGGAGGGGGTTTAATTAATTAATTTGAATGAGAGTTTATTAAGGTATAAGTAATGAATTGCATGTATTGAATTAATTTATTATTTCCATGGTCGAATGGAGAGAACAATGATGAGGATAATGATGAGGAGGAGTATGATGGCGTAGCAAGTCCACTTGCGGGTGCTCTTCTGTTTGGTGCGGGCCTCCTGGAGCTGGTGAGCCCCTTGGCGGACCACGCTATGAGCCCTCTGCACCTGGCTCTCGATGTCATCCAGCTGCTCCCCCTGTGTCTCTACCAGCACTGCCACGTCCATGAACACTTGGTGAAGCTCCTTCAAGTTCCTCTCCACCTCCTTCACTGCCTCGTGCCGCTCCTGCATATATGCATGTGTTATATTTAATTTGTCGTTTTCTATGACCATTATAAATAAATTACACAAAATTCTACTAGATTTCACTTGTAATAATAATTCAATAATATTAGAATTTTGTAATGTGCATGCAAGTGATCTGAAGTACATCAATTTCCATTTACTTGTTCAATACTTCAGTCATTATCATTCAAATGATATAAAATTAAATATGATCCATAAAATGTAAATTTATTATCTTAATTGGTGCTCATTCCTCATGGAGGCATTGATTCGGCTATGGGTTTGGTTATTGATGACATTAGAGAAATTGCATCTAGTTTTGCTAGAATTACTTTCTCTCATGTGAAGCGATATGCGAATCGAGTAACTCACGATCTAGCTAGGGTTGCTATTTCTTTGTCTGATCGATATGTGTGGATTTTTAATTTCCCTCCTTGTATTAAAACTTTGTTGGACTTTGATTTTATTAATAGTACTTAACTAGTTTCCCTTCAAAAAAAAGTAGTGCTCATTTTAAACCTTGGAATTGTAATTATACTCGTTCATCGTCTCCTCAGTCGTGCACCCTCACCTCATGAAGCACACCGAGTAGGCATCAATACACACTCTTGCATTTATATGAGGATGAGGGCACCATGCGCCTCGTCCATTGCACGACAGGCATATCATTAACAACACCATGTGCCATCTTTTCATACGTTGCACTAGTTTCGCTCATATATTAGCTTACGTATACCATCATATATACTTCATTCGTTCTTTTTTAATTGCAACATTCACTTTTTCACGTTTGTCAATGCACAACTTTGATCATCATTATATTTAATTTTGTATTAGTAAAAAATAATTAAAAGTGAGATTATGAAACTTTATATTTTGAATTATCTTTTTCAAAAAAAACATAATTCACATACATTAATAAATAAAATTTAGTCAAGGTAAAGTACATGAATAGTGTGTAATTTGCAATGTTGCCACTATAGAAAGTCTCCTTTGGATTGATGTAAGGGTTCGAACATTCAATAATATCAAGTATTTCTCTCTCTACATTTAGCTCTATCTTTTCTCTAAAATAGACATACTAATAGCGCGATATAAGGATGTTTTCTTTTAGACTGTTTTCAGTCCCTGACCAGACCAGACCAGACCAAACTTCCGTAGCTCTAAAATACACAGAGACCAGACTAGACCAGACCAGACCAGACCAGACCAAACCAGATCAGACCAGACTTCCGTAGTTATAAAATACACAGAGACCTAACGTTTACCAGACTAGACCAGACCAGCAAATTTCAGTCCAAAAGAAAACATTCTAACTATTAATGATTAAACTTTCTAAATAATACTCCTTAATAATAAATCACAACTAAAATCAAACGGGATAAAATTGGAAGATATTGAATGTTTCATAGTCGTAAATTTGACATTTTTAAATGGAACCAAAGCCTTATTAGTTACTCTTTATAAATTTGACTTTTCAAATGAATAATAATAAACTTTAATAATAATTTCGACTATAAAAAACAAATAACACTTTTATATCATTTTTGTACTATAAAAATTTAATAGGAACATATAGTCATATACTTCCTACATCATTGGTCAATTGTTAATTTGGTTGACAAAAAATAAAAAATGACAAAAAAAAGGGAAAACTGTCAAATAAGCCCTCCTACTATGTCAAAAAAGTCAATTAAGTCCTCGAACTTTAGGATCAATCAATTGAACCCTCAAACTCATAAAATACACTCAATCAAGGCTTATGACCTGTAAATAACAAGTTTCCCGGTTATCTGCTTACATGGACTATCCATGTAGATTTTTATTTCTTTTTCCTTTTTCTTTTTGTTTTTATTTTCTTCCTTTCTTTCTTATTTCTTTCTTGCGTTTCCCACATTCGTACGCACCAGCCACCAGAGAAAGAAATTCAGAGCTCTCTCCTTTCGCCTTCATGAGACCAATTAAATTTTGAATTGAAGCCATCGCCGGAATTGTAGCTTGTGGCTGCCATAGCCGGAGTTGCTGGTTGTGGCCGCCGTCGCCGGAGTTGCAGGTTGTGGTCGCCGTCACCAGAGTTGCAGCTTTTGGCCTCCATCGCTGGAGTTGCAGCTTGAGGCCGCCATTGTCGGAGTTGTAGCTTGTGGCCGCTACCGCCGGAGTTATCCCTCACTCACGTTCGGGATACGGTGAAGCACATCCAGATCTACACGACGACTTCTTGCAAGACTGATGGAAATGGAAGCTGACTGGATAAATAAATATGACGGCCGCTGAACTAAATTGCAAGTGACGGCGAGTCGTGGGCGCAGACGGTGGCACAAAAGTGTGGTCGAAGAGGATGCGACAGTGCTCTACATGAAGGGAATGGAGGATGCAAGTCTGCTGCAAAGGCGGTGGCACAAAGGTGTGCTCTACGTGTGACGGTCGGTCAACCGTCGGTGCGGTGGGCTTGTGGCAGTGCCGCCTGGGAAAATGATGAACTTGGAGTAATAGTTCTTTCTCTGGTGGCTGGCCTTTGCGAACAAATGTGGGAAACGCAAGAAAGAAATAAGAAAGGAAGAAAAAAAAACAAAAAGAAAAAGGAAAAAGAAATAAAAATCTACATGGACAGTCCATCTAAGCGGATTACCGGGAAACTTGTTTTTTAGCGGTCATAAGGCTCAATTGAGTGTTTTTTATGAGTTTGAGGGTTCAATTGATTGATTCTAAAGTTCGAGGACCTAATTGACTTTTTTGACATAGTAGCAAGGTTTATTTGACAGTTATCCCAAAAAAATGACAAAGTAATCAAGGCATATATACCTGGATCTCCATGACCGTGCTCATGACCTCCCCTCTCCCCTGTTCTTGTATAGCCTTCTGCATAAACGTCTCGCTCTGCCCCGTCGAGATCAACTTGTCAAGCACCTCCTCCGCCGGACTCTCTCCGGTCACGGTGTAGTACCTCCGTTGCACCGTATCTCGGTACTCTGCTTCGATCCTCTGGCGGAGGTCGTTGAACTGGTTCATGTACTCCTTCAGCTTGCTCCTCAAGCCGTTCACGACGGAGGTTCTCGTCCGGTCGGAGGAGCTGCCGGGGCCGAATCCGTGGATCTCGCGGTTGGCGGCGTTGGACCGGTCCAACTCCTGGAGGCGGTGTTTGACGAGTTTGGCTTGTTTGAGGGCAAGGGAGACGTCCCGGTCCATCTCCGACCGGAGGCCTTTGACTTGTTCGGCGTTGTGCAGGGTTTTGCTCCGGTCATGGGAGGCTCTGAGGTTGGCGTAGATGTCCCCGATGTCTTTGAGGTCTTCCTTGATGGCCTCCACGTCATCGAAGAACTTGGAGAGGCTTGCTCCCCCTCCGGTCGCCATCTCGACGGTGTAGGAGTCCGGCGGCGGCGGGGATCCCCTGTTTTCGCGAGGGAGGGAGAAGGATGTTGATAGAAGGTCGTTCATGATAGCAGCGCCAGCTAGAACATGTACGTACTTGAGATCAGTTCGGGCGATCGAGAAATGAATTGAAGAAATGATTGAGAATTGAGAGTGGAAATATTAGTAGGTTGAATTGAGAACAAGGAAGGAATTGAGGAAATGTAAAAAGGAAAACGCGGTTCCTTGTTTGAATTGTTCATGCATGAGCGCGGCGGCGCAGAGATTTGTTAAATGCATTGACCGGAGAATATTCACGCTTGACTTGGTATGGATCAACGCTTAGTCTAGAAGGTATGATCAAAACAAAACTTCAAATTGTATTTCAATGATTGATGTCAAAATCCCTATGAAGTGGTGATCTATTGGCTGACGACCAACACCTAAATTCTGACAGGGGATACCCAACCGGCGGCCAGCCTCTACTCCCTTCAGAGCTAGGAAACTGCACTTTCCATAACTGAGCATGCTCAATGTATTCATTCGAAAATCAATCACCGTGCTCGCTCTTAATTCGATCCGCTATGTTTGCTTCAATTTTTATGCTAGTTGTGATAGAAATCAAAGGCAGAATCCTTGAGTTAACCTCTCCACCTTCCATAGCAGCCTTGGCACTTAGCCCTGCTTTCTGGGAGGTGATTTCAAGGACATTAAGGAATACAAAGGTAAAGCCATCCCTAACAAATACTCCGTACTTGATTTCAAAAAAATTATCAGCTATAATGATCTTACTGACATCTCTCTCATTGGGAGAAGAAAAGTGCCTCTAGTCTCGATGGTTTTGATGGAAGCTTTTACCATGCCTGTTTGATATTAGGAAAAATTACTATTAACCCCTGAGATTATGTCATAATTATTAATACAACCTTTCATTTTCAAAAATCAATTACTTACTCTCTCACCTTTGATCATTCTCACTATTTGCCCCCTCATTTTAATATTTGTTCAATTAAATTTAATTTAACTCTTAAAATAAATGAAAATTGTCTATAAAATTAAATTTTAAAAGTAAAGTGCAGTTTATTATTATAATTACAAATCATTTTTCTTGATCGTTGTTTTTGTACAAAGCTACTCGATCGTGGAATAAATATTAATGAAAGTAGCTAAGATAAACGACTCACGAACTGAGTAATATTCATGAGATATATCAAATAAGATTGTTTGAAATATTGTGATCATAATTCTACCTAGACACCTCTTCATCATGAATATAAAAGTCTTTTTTGTAATTCATCCGGCTACATTAATCACAATGACAATTCTTTCGTGTGTAGCAAAGATGAAGTACCAAGAAAAAACGGATTTTATCAATCAATGACCTAAAAGATTGGTTTAGTATCAATAACAAACCTAAAAAAAGATGTTGGTGTGAATAATTGTAAGCTATCAATCTATCTAAGAACTAACACATATATCATAGATTTTGGTTTTTTTATTAATTCTATTACTATTTTTCTATGATTTTCCCTTCGCAAAAAGTTTATTAGTTTAATAAGATTAAATGATATTTACTTTTTTAAATTAAGAAAGATTAAAATTCATAATATTTTATATCTTACTCGTGAGTCTTCTCTCTTAACGACATTCATTAATATTTATTCTATGATCGGGTAGATAAGTTAAAAAATAATGATCAACAACATTGGCTTATAATTATGATATTTAATTGTATTTTAATATAAATTTAATTTTGTAGACAATTTTGCTTAAAGTTAAAAGTTATTAAATTTAATATAACAAATAATAACGAGAGGGGGTAAACAGTGAGAATAATAAAAACACGGGGGTTAAATAATTGATTATTGAAAATGCAAGGTTGTATTAAAAATTATGGTCTAACCTTAGGGGCTAATAGTGATTTTCCCTTGATATTATTAAACCGATCTACATAATGCAGTTGAAGAATTTTTCTACGGTGTTCCCAAAACTAAAAGTGTGGGCCATACTTTCATTACTTTTTATTTTTAGGGAGTACCAACCTGCAACTTTTCAATAAAATCAGACCGCTTAGTCAGAGCAATTTATCAATAAAATTTTCATTACAAATTTGACTAATCGGTTGACCCCTTAATTTAATAAAAGTATCTCTTTGGAACAAAGTCCTTTTTGAAAAGGAAAAGAGATTTCTCATACTTGTAGTATTTTAGCTATGAAAGAGATTACCCGTTGTCTTCCTAATGCTTTCCTTAGCTATAAAGGAATTCGATGTAATTAAGCCTTTGAATTCAAATTCATTGTTCCAAAAGGTTGAATCGCCAACCCCAAACGCCCCCACGCCCCGACCCGACATGACTTTTGGGAGGATGTAAGTCATGGTGACTCAGTCAGTAGAGTGGTAGTAGGGATGGACCCGGGCCGGTCCGGTTCCGGTTCCGGGCCGGGCCCGGGCGGGCTTTTTTTCGGGTTACATGGGCCCGGAACCGGCCCGGGTTGATACCGGGTCCGGGCCTAACCGGGCCGGGCCGGGCCGGGCCCGGTTCAATGTTTTTTTTTTTTTTTTTTTTTTACTTTCTTGTTATCTCCCTACCCCCCCCCCCCCTCACCCCCACGCCCCAAACCTCCCTAAAACACCCAGCCCTACCCTAGGAAAAGAAAAAAAATTGAAAAAACCAAAAAAAAAAAAAATGAACCGGGCCCGGCCCGAACCGCCCGGGCCGGTTCAACAAAAATAGGGCCCGGAACCGGCCCGCCCGACCCGCCAACACGGGCTAAAAGCCCGGAACCGGCCAACCGGGCCCGGTCCGGTCCGGGCCCGCACAGTAGCGGGCCGGTCCGGTTCCGGGCCGGTTCGGCCCGGCCCAGTCCATCCCTAAGTGGTAGTAGGCCCATACACCCGTGCGCACCAGAGGCATAGTCTTATTTCAAGTTCTGTGACCTCCACCCAGTCGCTGCGGGGATTCGAACCTTGGCCATTGTTCCAAATTTTCCACCACTCGAACAACTGAGCTACCCGTGCGGGTTTTGAATTCAAATTCAAATAGGATTAAACCATGAGAGGAACGGCCAAAGTTACATACTCCTATTGAAAGATGAGATTACACCGTTATAATTCAAAATAGTAGTATAAGAACATACCTCAGATGAGATTACACCGTTATAATTCAAACTTGCCTATTGAAAGAAAGAAAGAACCTCTACACTTCTAGAATTAGATTTTTGACTTACTTTTGGACCTTTTATATTCTTTTGTTTGGGTGGGGGGGATGATGAGAACGTAGTAATGTTGAAGGCTGCATGTTGGATACTTTCACACAATCACACTACTTTTCATAATAACATTACCAACCTAGATTGAGAAATTTGAGATGAGATTCAAACTTTTGAATTTCAAAGTTAATTAATAGCAGAGCTGCAATGGCATCAAACCACAACAAATCGTATACAAATCATGAATTACTTAGTTACATACTCTGTATATATAATGCTATTTTGATAACTTGCTCAGGTAAATATTTAGAGAGATTGGTAGGGGAATGTATTAAAGATTTAAAGTCAGTTGTTAGATTTGTTAACAATAATTCCAATAGAAGAGGTTAGAAACTGATATACAGTTATACACTTGTGCCTTCAACTAAAAAAATACAGCTCGGGCTGTGAATCCCTACAGACACAAACTGATGACCAAAAGGGCCTTTATCGAACTATCGATACTTGGTCGCTGCATAACAGCATAAGAACCTTTATCAGCACACCTTATCTGTGGCCTCTCATGAAACCTAAAAAAAAACCTCAAAAAGGAAAACTGATAACTTCCCTCTCTTTCTTCTTGAGTCGGGCCCAACTTGGCCCGTAAAACTTTGAAAAATTATATTCAGAAGTTCATGCAACAAATTCATTTAATGCAACTTCAACCAGCTGTGACGCAGCAGCAGCAGTTGCAGTTTCCACACCTGCCGGCGCTGTGGTGGTAGCCGCTTCTACTACTGCTGCGGTTGCAGTGGCTGCCACTTCCATCACGGCAGCAAAGGCAGACGGTTGTTGGGAATGCGCAGTATAGTGAAATTCAATCTGAAGCCGGTGATGCAGTGGCACTGATATCATTAGACCTCTATTGATGTCTTCCTGCAGCTCTCTAATTGGAATTGCCGCCAGAAAGTCCTTTATATAGTGTTTGCATGTCTCTTTCCCTTCACAAATAATCTCTTTTGGATCAATCTCCATCCGCGGCTCCTCCTGACCGAAAACTCCATCTAACTTGACACTTGGCACTTTGTAGATAACTGAGTTCTTGTCAAACTTTAGTATGTAAGCCTGGTTGCAACCTGTCAAAGTATACGTAATAGGTTTAACAACATCTAAGCCTTATTCCCAAAAGATTTTGGGGTCAACTAACATGAATCGATCCCAATAGTATACGCAATAGGTTAAAGAATTACGGAGTATAATAATAACTGCAAGGTCTGAGTATAGTATAGGTTAAAGAATAATAGGTCAAAGTATAGTATATCCCATTCCACTGTTGGTATGCTATTTTCCTACATAAGTGATGTTTAAGATTCTGAAAAAAATGCAGACTGAGGGTGTAATAGAATGCAACAGCAAGTATAAAGAAAAAGTAATACGAGTAAATTAAAGGTTGGAGTTTGTTGTTCAACATTACCTTCCCAAAGTCGCTCCCCCAATGTATCAATTATGTAATAAGCTTCGGGTTCTGCTTTTAAGACAAAAAAGTGGTCATTCCAACTAACAATATAAACTTGGGTTTCCAACGTTTTATTATCGCAACTAATCTCGTCCCAGATGTTGTCGAAAGACAGTGCACCCTGCAAAAAGTCGAAACTACCCTTGTCGTCCATCATGTCCGGGTGGAAAAAACCGACAAATGATTTTTCTGGAATGACAGAAAAGCAACGGGTTTTGGCGGCTCGCAGGACAGTGTCAAGGTCAAAGTGCTTATCCGGGAAACTTTCCAGGTAGGTTTCTTCGTCCTGACAGAGAGTCCTCCATTCAGAAGAGCCCTCTCTGATCAAGCTGTCAAACTGTGACTTTACCGGCATGAGGTCACGGTTTGTGTGCAACCAATCAGCAATAACTGTGACGAGAGATGTGCATGCGCTTTCCCCGGAAGCCTGCTCGCTTCTTTGGTCAATTGAAGCAAAGAAGATTTGGGTTTGAAGCATCGCGTGCCCGTCCCGACTCATTACTTGTTTTTGTTCCCAAGTTCCAACAGCAAAATTGTCATCGCAGAATCCTGATATCGAAGGTCGGGGTCCACCTATTTCTTCTTCCTCTGTTCTGTGCCACTGCAAAATAGGACAACACCCATTAACTCTTAAAAGAGATACTCTGGATCAACTGTGGTGTCATTTGGTAACATTGTGTTTGTTCTTTTCCTTTATTGTTTTCACTTTTAATAACAAAGAATGATTTCCTTTTCAATTTCAAAAACAGAAATAGAATTCTGTAATTTTGGGAAAGCATGAATTCACTGTTCTCATACATGTGTTTCTCATTCTGACACTACTTGTAAAGCATTTAGATTTTCTACAGATATCATATATTTTTATAATAAATACTCCAAATAAAAATAATATATCTACCAAACATATTTATTGAACATTTAGATTTTCTATATAAAAAATCATATACTTCATAACAAATACTCCGATTTAAATCATATATAAATACCTTTATCCACCAAACACATTTGTACATTTTAGAATTAAGAAAGCAACAAATAAAATTTTGAGAACAGGAAGCATTACCCAAAGTGTGTTGAGACTGTTGAATATTGAAGAATCCAGGTTCTAACTTCTATCAGGTGGTCTTAAAAACTCCAAGTGATAGATTGCGGAATAATATACTACATCTGTCCCATAATGTAAGATACATTTGGATTTGGTGCGGGTTTTAAAAAATAAAGGATAAAGTGATTGTTTTACAATTCTAACCTCCAAAAAGTAAGAAAGGGTAAGATGGGTCCACAAAAAATAAAGGGTGAAATGATAGATAAAGGGATAAAGTGAGGGGGGGAAGTTAGTGGAGTCCAATTTAGGAAAGTGATCATATTTTTGGGATAACCCAAAAAGGAAATTATATCTTACAAATTGGGACAGAGGGAGTATTAAAGAACAAGGAGAAGAACATTGCAGTATGTTTTTTTATTGTAGATCAAAGAGGAATAGAATAAATAACGAATATATAGAGGAAACGTGTGAAAAAAGACAGTATTCTTTTGTTGTGTTGTAATCTCGTATAAACAAGACAAGATGCTCAAGAGAGTATCACAATGTTATTCAATCATTGCGTTAAACTGATTAATTAAAAAAACTGAACAGATGTTAACATGGCACCGTTTTCCAAGAAAGGAAAACAAAGATCCTTACCCCAAAGGAAACAGATTCATCAGAGCTGAGCTGGCGACGGTCATAGTCAATGTCATCCCCACCTTCTTCCCAACATTCCTTCCTCAACAACGGCTCCCCCTTAGGAGATCTGAACCTCTCCTTTCTCTTCCTCCAAGGAAGAATACTAATGCCACGTTGTTGCAAAACCACTGGCTCGGAAGCTTGTGAGATCCAACAGTCCACATTCGCCGACCACCCAACGTCTGATCTGCTATTGCTGTAGTAAATCCAACCCTCGTCCTCACCGTCAATCCGTGTTGATGATACTGCATAATTGGCATAGGGCAATGTGCCATAACTAAATGAATTCCTAACAGGAGAATCTTCTTGTCCCTTTCTTTCATCTGATTCTTCCCCTTCCTCGAACCCATCAAGTGACTCAGAGTCAATAGAAGGGTATGCGTAATCTGATCTGCAGTCACTGATATCTTCCTCCCGACATGGTTTTTTTGCTCTCCTCACGGACACGTAATCAGTGAGGATCTTTACTTTTCTAAGACCAGCTTTAAGGGCAGAAAGCTCATCTTTCTCTACTGATGATGATGATGGTGTTTCTCCAGGTGGCTGAGGAGGTGATGTTATGGGCTTCTCCACCAATTCAGTAGGCTCTTGTGGAGTTATCAGTTCCAATACACTTAGAGATATCTGCAGGAGAGGTCAAGCAGAAGATTTAGGCTTCCTTTGGTTTTCTTAGCCGGTTCTTCTTATCATCACAATATAACAATAGGTAAATTTTGAATTGATGACCATTTGGTAACCACTTTTTTTGGCTTATCATCCTTATAGCATTTTTTGTAAACATTAATTTATTTGGCAAAGTTCGCTGAATTGGTTCATGATGAAAAAATATATGTATGGAACTCTCTAGGAGGTACTTTGAGGGCTGAAGTTGCCAAATACGACCATTTTAGTTCTATTTCATATATATATACACACACACACACACACACACACACATATATATTCTTTATTTCTTTATTGTATAAGTAAAATAAAACTTAAATTTTCCCCTGAAATTGGGCAATTTCAGGAACTTCATCAATATAAAACAATGATATGAAAAAAGAACAGAAAATTTTAGGGGTGGGCACGGTCCGGAACGGTCCGGTAAATTAGCAAAACCCGAAATGTACCCGTGAGGTTTCTAACGGTTCGGTACGGTCCGGTTCTAAGGTTAGAACCATTCGGTACCATGTCGTTTCGGAATGGTTCGGAACAATGCCAAACACATGCCGAAACATTTGAACAAATCGTACAATTAGTATATATCATCACACCGGCCAATTCACATGAAATGTTGATAAAAATATGAGAAAGTGTATACTAAATACTAGAAAAGATTCAAGAGGTTGACATTTTTGTATTTAAATTCACAAATACTCAAATAGTGCAACACAATTAAGTAAAAATATAGCAAAATAACGATACACTAGTATAATATCATCTATATTAAATTCATGTGAAAATAAAAAAAAGATATCATTAAATTGTTGAATGTAATAGAAAACTTTAATGTACTGCTTCTCTGTTCTAAGTTAAATATTAGTTCTAATTTAGTTGATAGTTGAGCCGTAAGAGCTAAGATTCAGACCATATTAATTAAGTTGTAAAATTACATAAATATGATACAACAAGAAGTCATATACACTACATTATTAGAAATTAATAGTCATTAATGATTTTAAAACTTTAGCATTCTTTTTCCAAAAAAAAACTTTAGCATTTTTTCATTACATATCAAATATAACATAAATTATCTAAAAGGAAAAAAAACAATATTTATATCACACACATAGCTATTTTAGGGATGCATGAATACATACTTGGGCTATAAAATTGTTGGTCTATAAAAGATGTTTATTGGTATGGAAAATATAAAATCTTAAAGGCATTATTTTTGAACGGTTCGGTCCGGTATTTTTCGGTTCTCAAAATCTAGGACCGGTACCGTACCCGTTTGAAATGGTACGGTTTCGGTTCGGGTTAAAATTCTATAGAAACGTTTAAATACCCGATATTCGGTTCTGTACCATTACGGGCCGGTTCAGTTTTTATGCCCACCCTTAGAAAAATTCATCCTTACCAAAAGGGTGCTTACTTATTTGGTTGGTAAAGATGTTACCAAATGCTTTTCCTTTCAGAAAATCCAGCAGATTCAACAATTATTCAGATACCACAAAGGAGCAGTTTTCAAACAGATTGAAAAGAATGTGTTCTATGTGAAGAATGGTACATACACAAAGAATAGGACGAGCCTCAGATGCATTCCCAGAAATTGCTAGTGGGATCTTCAAGTTGAACTCTTTTCCCTCCTCTGTCTTGGCAGCAAATTCAGAAAGGTTTAGGACTGCTGTTCCAACAGTATGAAGCTTATTCTTAGAACCTTGATTTGACTCCTGAATTGTAAATCACAACCAAAACAAGGCTCAGCAAACCCGGACATTCCATGTGGGTATAAAATCTACTTCCTTCTTCCTATTTGTCTGTCACAGTTAACCACTTTTATTTGTTCTATTTTATCCCTCCATTCTTAGGAGGAACATAAATAGGATAGTGGTGTTCAATGAGAGCATTTCAGGTAAAATATGATTTAAAAAGTAGTTAATGTATAGCCCCGCTACATTTTCAAAAAACGGTAGATGGTCGAACATGGACAATAAATACAGATAAATAAGAACATGCTAAGTATTACAGAAGAATATGCTCTCAATGTTGGAACATGGAAACATGTTTATAGAATTAGAAGCAGCAAGCATTAGATGGAACACATTTACATGGTTTCTCTATTTTGGTTAAGCAAGATATCCGAGTTCAACCTTCATTAAGAACAAAATAAGTCGAAAAAGCCCATGCTACTCATCTGTGCATTCTCATAAGTGTTAGTCACACCTACCAAGTTTCAACTGGCTTATGCTGCAGTGCATATCATCCTAGTGTGTAAATACGGTGACGGAATCTTGTTGTAAAAGGCAGTTAAAAATATACAATTAAAAGGTTAGAAGTTGGAATGTGGAAGTACTAGTGACAACGGCACTCGCTTCCCATTTTATAAGCACTCGAAAAGAGACTGATGATGCAGATCAAATACATACAAGAGAAAATTCCAACTAAAACATAGGAAAAATGAAAAATAGGATCACTATTGTTTTTTTCTAAAATAGAACCCATTCAAACCTATTTGACAAAGTTCTATACTTTAGGATCAATGAAAGCCTATCTTGGGAATAAAACATAATCTCCTATATGCCTATTTTAGTCCTATTTGAAGCAATTTCTTATACAAACAATCCGAGAGATGTAGATAAACTTTACCATTTTCATTAGTAATACATGTAATTTAAATTTGTAATTATTTAAAAGAAAAAAACAGGGTCAAGAAAATTAGCTCACATTGAAAAACACAGTGAAGCTGATCTCCCAAGGATGAAACGCGTTATCCCTCAACCCAGACAGATTACACACGTTTTGAAACTCGTCATCCCACTCCACAAGAAAGGCGCCATCTTGTCCATTCTTGACCCCTGCTTCTTTGGTGCAGTTCCTCTTCACTGTTCTTCTGAAGGACCTTAACGCCGCCTTGGGTGGGCCCTTCCATCCGATCTCAACGGAAGCGCCGCCCGACAATGTGGCAACTTCACCCAACCACGGTTCTCCAACGCCCAGATTCTCGAGTCTCCGAATGACAAGCAGATTCTCGAGTCTCCGAATGACAAGCCTCACATCGATTTTTTTGGAAATTAACGGCGGCCATGGACGCCACTTCATCATCTTCACCACCATTTACTGCATCTAGAGAGAAACCTCGGGGAATTTGGCTAGTCTTTCCTCGGAGATGGGTTCGATGTGCACTGGAAACTTGTTAAGTTGGCTTTTTTTTGTTTTTCTTTTCGCTTTTTAAGATTTTCCCATCTCAAGGAGATGTTGGTGGAGATAATAAAATAGCACAATTAGAGCATGTGATAGTTTCTTTCTAAGACCATTTAGAGTGGTGTGAGGGTCAAAATGTCAAAAATGGACTCCGTCTTTATGAAAATAGTGTTTTGACTCCTATTTCTCTGCATCTCAGCACCGTCAATAAAATATACTCTATACATTTTTTTTACATATCAATTTAGTAAAACATTAATTAAATTATTATAAGTAATATTTTTCTTTTAATTTAATCCTTGAATAATTATGAAATAAAAATACACATTTCGATGTAAAAGTAAATAAATTTCATTAATTTTTTTTAACATTTTTCGGTTAACAAAAAATGAACTTAGTTCAAGTAAAGTTCGATTACGGAATATTAAGTTATTTGTGAAGGCTACATGAATTAAAAAATTGTGTTTTGTATTTTTTTGGGCTCATGAAAACATCAATAGTTAAAATTTCAGATTTTTTTCCATTTTATATATTACATATTGGTGTCATATGAAAGAGTATAAAAAATTATGAATTTTGATATATTTTTTTCTAAATTTGATTTATGAAAAAACAAATTATAACCATTTTAAGAAAGATGGAGTTTTATTTATGGGCCCACTAACTACTCACCACTCATGATTCCTTTCTTTTTGGCAAAGTAACACTTCCACCAGAGTCAATCGGCCGGCTAAAATTGGACTCCTCCCTCCCCATCTCCATTTTTAGCATCCTATAATGCTCTCCAATGTAAGAAGTTAGGAGTCTAAAATCTCCATTTTTAGCATTTTAGACTCCTAATACCTTACCACTACAAATGGTCTAACGCATCCTCATCTATGGATTATTTTTGGGATCATTTTGATGGTGTGGAAGATTTTTTTTGAAATCATGGATGAAGAGTTGAGATTATTTTATGAGATTATTTGATAAAATAATCTTGTATCAAATTCTAAAGCTGGATTATGTTGAGATTATTTCCAACTTTTAGACTCCTCTCTCCATTTTCTAGGCATATACTCATAATTCGACGATGAAATCCCTATCTTGAGATAGATGCAGAGGCTTTTTGAGGTGTAGTTTGTCCAAGTCAAAATGTTAAGGAGTCTTTCTACACTCACACGGCCCCTTCTCGTAGTGTTTAAGGAGACTACATGCATTGGAAGCCAAATTGAAATCCCAATGTCTCAATTGATGACATGACACACATTTTCTTCACTAGAAAGCGTAGCAATGCGGATGCTCTTAGGAACTATTTGCAATTTTTAAAAATATTTAAGCTAATAGTCTATCATTGGAGTGCATCTTTCCTTCTAGTTTGGGCAAACAAATTAACCAATACAAGCTAGTTGCTAGAAAGAAGGGAAGTTTAAACTAGAATGGTAATTACCAAATATATTTAATATATTTACCAGTATCACCCATAAATGATGTGCAAAGTCAAATCTCGCTGATTACAAAAAAAGCGTCGATCCCCACTAATCTCGCATAAATGGTAATTACTAAATATATTTAATCTATTTAGTAACATATTGCATTGTAAGAGGTACGGATTACATTGTAATACGTACCTCTTACAATTGCATTGTAATACGTACCTCTTACAATTGCATTGTAATACGTACCTCTTACAATTGCATTGTAATACGTACCTCTTACAATGCAATATGTTACTTTACACATCAAACATGTACTAAATGTATCACTTTCCACTTTTGTAAACAAAGATATATTACACAAAGATATATTACATGAACTAAAAGATATATTACTTTTGAATCAGTAACATGAACTAAATATGTTACCGATTCACATAATTTTACTTCTAATTTACATTATTTATATCATTTTTCCAAACATTTGTATCACCAAACAATACAATATTTAGACATTAGCAACACGTATATACAATTCATGACATCATTTACACCAGACATTAGTGATTTACATTATCTTACTTACAATATTATAGTTACATATTTGGTTCGAATTTTGCTTTACATCCTTATTACACCCTATATAACTCCCTCCATTTTTTATTTCCCTTCCTTCCCACTCTTTTTCTCTCTTCCATTCCTCCCCTCTTGCATCATACGAACCATCCCCCTCTCTTTCTTCTTTCTCTCATTCTTCTTTCTTTCTTTCTTTCTTTCTTTCTTTCTTTCTTTCTTTCTTTCTTTCTTTCTTTCTTTCTTTCTTTCTTTCTTTCTTTCTCCTTCATTATCATTTTCTTCTTATTTTTCTTTCCTTCTCTCTTTTTCTTTCATTTTACGTTTTATTTACCATCACCTTTCATCATTATCTTCATCATCATCTTCCATCACCATTTTCACCGGAAAATTAGAGTCGCCGCAATTTTGTCTGTATGGTATATAAATATTGTCTGTATTGTGTTAAATAATGGTAAACGTTGTCTATAATGAAAGATTAAACTGACAAACTAATAACATTCTATAAATTTTCGCCTTAGACAGAAAATGTATGTATACCGACACTGGTTTTGTTTCAGTGTTTGTATACACACATTACACAGACAAAAAAATGTTAGAAAAAGTCAGGGTTAGATTGCATCGAAACAAATGTTTGTGTACACAGACAAAAATTGTACATATACAAACACTTTTTGTGTTACACACAACTAAAAACTAATGTCTGTGTACACCGACATTAGTTTACGTGCAACAACCCTGACAGGTCTGAAAAAGGTACACCAATCAATGTGATTTACACGCTACCCGATTTTTGTTCACACGGACACTTTTTGTCGGAAGTGTCAATGTTTGTACACTTTTGTCTGGAAAAAATCGCAATCCTACACTAACGGAATTTTTTTGCCCCCCTTAACTTGAAATACTAGATCCGCCCCTGCATGCAAGGTATAAATAAATATATCCGGAGTATATACGAAGCAAGAAAGAACTGCAATATTGTTATTGCACTAATTATTCCAATCAAGCATGAATCCAACTAATTATTGCACTAATTATTCCAATCAAGCATGAATCCAGAGTATATAAATGTCTCTGATCTTCATTGAAAAGAGCTTTTTATTTCTTTTCTAGTGATTAATTAGAATGAATAAAGAAAGAAAAAAAGGTGAGGATACAAATACTGTAATTATTATGAGCAAAATATGTTTGAAGCTTAGGTGATTCCACACGTTTAAATCGCTGAAGAAGAGCGCCCAAATGATCGGAACTAAGTGGTGTAGTTATGAAGCAGATGCAGCAATGCTTGGAAATCTTTAGTGGAGCTCCCCCCTTGAGGTTTGACAGCCTCCAATGCCTTCTCTTTGAGCACCCCAACATTTTGTATGAACACCTTATGCTGCCCACTCGCCAGAACGCGATCCAAGGCTTTGATTGTCCCATTCTTGGTAAAGATCCCACCCTCCACTCTCACCCCTATCTCCCACACACTCTCCACCAGCCTGCTGTTCAGCTTCTGATCCCCGAAAAACGGCCTACAGATCAAGGGCACCCCGAAGGATACCGCCTCCAAGATCGAGTTCCATCCGCAATGCGTCACAAAAGCCCCGACCGAAGGGTGGGACAGAACTTGTACCTGGGGGGCCCACGGCACAACCTTCCCAAAATCTTTTGTCCGCTCGAGAAAACCATCAGGAAGGAGGTTCAAGCACGTCTGTTTGAGGGACCAAAGAAAGGGCACCCTTTTGGCTTCTAATGCTTCTGCTATGGCCACGATCTCGTCCGGTGGCAGAGCGAGGACTCTTCCGAAGCTGAGATAGACGGCGGGGACGGGAATGGTGTCCAGCCATGGAATGCACTGGTGTTCGTCGGTCACTTGTGTTGGCAATGAGGAGAGGAGAGTCATAGGGCCAATGTTGAACACCTTCTGGAGCTTGGATTTGAGGTGGTTGGTGATGGTTGGCTCTAAGTCTTGGAAGGAATTAATGACGACAGCGTTCGCTTTGTGGATGTTACATGACATGTTGTAAAGCATGCCGGGGAAGGATGAATGGATATTCTCGACCAGGACTTCGGCAGGCACGTCACCGATTGATATGCCGGACAATCCTGGGATGGCTTGTAGCAGCTGCTCCTCATCTCCTGCACCCAAGGACGTTTATCGTTCATTTTTATGATAAATTAACCATTATATTACTCAAGTAAATCATTCTCCATTAGACTTACGACACAATTAGGAGCTTGCTCACATAAAACAATACACAATTTGTCTCGGATTAAAATTTTAAAATATGTTTTTTTAAGCTCTGTAATTTTTATCGTTAAAAAAAACTGTGTAATTTTTACTAACAATCAATGTTAATAGTCAAAATCGTGTATTGAAAAATATCAAATTAAAAGAGTTGCAATTATGTATAGACCGAGGAATTACTAGTTATTTCACCAATAAAAACTAAGAATGTTAACTGCACTCTCATAAATGCTAAATCTATTTACATTATTTACCTAACTACATAAATTTCAATTTGTTATAGAAAAATCATATATGATCGTGGTGCTAGCATGAATTATTTTTCTCATAAAAGTAAAGTGGAGGGGAAAAGGCTGTTTGGAAAGTGGTTTGCAAGAAAAAACTGTTTGGAAAGCGAAAAAAGTTCAACATAATAATAATAATAATAATAATAATAATAATAATAATAATAATAATAATAATAATAATAATAATAATAATAATAATAATAATAATAATAATAATAATAATAATAATAATAATAATAATAATAATAATAATAATAATAATAATAATAATAATAATAATAATAATAATAATAATAATAATAATAATAATAATAATAATAATAATAATAATAATAATAATAATAATAATAATAATAATAATAATAATAATAATAATAATAATAATAATAATAATAATAATAATAATAATAATAATAATAATAATAATAATAATAATAATAATAATAATAATAATAATAATAATAATAATAATAATAATAATAATAATAATAATAATAATAATAATAATAATAATAATAATAATAATAATAATAATAATAATAATAATAATAATAATAATAATAATAATAATAATAATAATAATAATAATAATAATAATAATAATAATAATAATAATAATAATAATAATAATAATAATAATAATAATAATAATAATAATAATAATAATAATAATAATAATAATAATAATAATAATAATAATAATAATAAT